CAAACTGCGCAGTGGACAGTGGCTGGCGTCACGAGCTAAGAATTTCCACATAGCGCCCGCGCACGGCACGAGGACTTGAAATCTATAAGGACAAACGTTTTATATCTTAATGATGAGTAGTAAGGATTGGTTAAAATTCAGCTACTTCATCATCGTCACTCTACATCAACAGGCTTAGGCTAGTCTGTAAAGGCAGCAGACGCCAGCGTTTCGATAATCTGGGTCTCGTCAGTGTGGCACCCAGCGGACCCCAGTCGGGTTCCGTCCGCATGACCTCTGGATGCCAGCAGCTAGTGCCACCTCGCCATGGATGACAGTAGCAAACCTACGTGAATAAATGCAGACCGTGATCTAGCCCCGCTCATCCGCCACATCTATTCCAGTTACGAACTGGTCAGAAGAGAGTGGTTAGCCTCACCAGCTAGGAATTTCCGCACATCGCTTCGGCACGGCACGAGAACTTGAAAGGTTCCCAGACAGCTTTTTTATATATTAATGATGAGTAAAGCGGATTTTGTTATAATGCAGCTAATCCATCGTTGAAACACTTCACCATTAGGCTTAGGCTAGTCCGGAAAACACCATACGCCGGCGTTTCACTCTATTGTGTGTTGTCACCGGTGTGCCTCAAAGCATACCCTGCCGTGTTCCGCTGCCCTAACTCCTGCATGCCTGCATTTAGTGCCACTTCTCCATGGGTGACAGCCACGGACCTGGGTGATTGGAACTTGGCAATCATAAATTCCGACACAACTCCTACTGACATGTCAGTTACGAAATGGTCAGAGGACATTGGCTAGCCTCACGAGCTGGTACTTCCGAAAATATCCCCGGCACGACATGAGTATTGGAAAACTACACGGACAGCATTTTGGAAATTTCTGATAACTATTTAGGATTTGTTACACTTCAGCAAATTCATCAGTGTCACTCTTCATCAGTAGGCTTAGGCTAGTCTGGAAAAGCATCAGGCACCGGCATTCCGACCTACTGTGTCTCGTCGGGGATGCGCCTTCCAGCGGACGCCAGCCGGGTTCCGCCCCATGACTTCTGGATTGCAGCAACTAGTGCCACTTCTCCATGGGACAGAGCTGCGGACCTGCGTGATTGATAGCTGACTGTCTAACTAGTCCGGCTCATCTCCCACTGCCACGCCAGTTAGGAACTGCTCAGAGGACGGTGGCTAGCGTCACGAAGTAGGACTTTTCGCATAGTGTCCCGGCTCGGCACGATGACTTGAAGACTATACGGACAGACTTTTATATATTACTGAAGATTAGCGAGGATTTTGTTATTATTCCGCTAACGCATCATTGTCACTGTCCAACAACAAGCTCAGGATTTTCCGCATAAGAACCAGACGCTGGCGTTTCGACAACCGCAATCTCTCCATTGGTGCGCCTCCCAGCGGACACGTGCGTGTTCCGCCCCCATGACAGCGGATGCCAGCAGCTAGTGCCACTTCGCCATGGGACAGTCGCGGACCTGCGTGCTTGCAAGTTGACTATGGTAGAGACCGGCTTAACTTGCACTGCCATGCTAGCTACGAACTGTGCAGAGGATTGTTGATAGTCCTTGCTCCTGGGACTAGCCACTTTCTTCTGCACAGTTGGTAACTAGATAGGCAGTGGAAGGTCAGCCGGGAGGTATCATATTCCATCGTCAATCTCGCGGTACCGCTGCTATCATCCATGACCAAGTGGCACTTGTTGCTGACATCCAGAAGTCATGGTAGCGTTCCGCTGGAATGCGCTCCACTGGCGAGAATACGGCGGTCGAATCGTTGGCGTCTTTTGCTTTTACAGGTTAGCTAACGCCTACTGCTTGAGAGTGTCAATACCGAATCAGAGGAATTATACCAAAATCCTCACTACTGATTAGTTAAATAGAAAATTCTGCCCGTATAGTTTTCAAGTCCTCGTGCCGTACCGCGTCCCTATACGAAAGTCCTTGTCGTGGGGTTAGCCACTGTCTTCTGCACAGTTCGTAACTGGCATGACAGGGGAATATCAGTTGCGCTATATCATTTTCAGCTGTCAATCATGCAGGTCCACAGCTGTCTCCCATGGCGAGGTGGCATTTGCTTCTGGCATCCAGAATTCATGGGGGCAGAACCCGGCAGCGATCCGTTGGAGGGTGCACCACTGCCGAGAAGCAGAAGGTGGAAACGCCGGCGTGTGGTACTTTTCCAGACTGGCCTAAGCCTACAGATGGAGAGTGATAATGATGAATGCGCTGAATTATACCAAAATCATTACTACTCATCAGTAAATTTAAATGTTTAATTCGGGCGATCGACGGTAGTGACTACATGCATCCAGCAAAGAATGTGTTAAAGGCCACTAGATTTATCGCTAGATATAATGATTTTGAGCTATCTATTGGCAATTGCGAAATGTGAATATTTGCAGTCAAGTTTTGGTATTCACATGCCACATTAGGACAATTGCTGGTGCACCGCGTTTTTAGCGGTGTGTCTTCGTCGTCCTCTTCCTCGACATCAAATGTGGCTCCGATTCCGATTATCGATGTGTCCATTGGGACTGTCTACTTAGGAAAGGTGTTCCTGAAGGATCTGTAAACATTAGCAGAGCACTGTACTCGCATAGTTCGGGCTTACGGAAAACTTTCGCCGCTCTGATCAGCAGAGTTTACAATGCAGCTATCCGTTCACTTGCCGCACGGTCGCGAAACTTGGTCCATCAAGTAGACAGACATAAAGACTCTAGCCCCGTTCGATAAACGCTGGCTCCGTAGCTTGGCACATATCCGATGGGAACATCGCGTGAGTAATTAGCGTATTCGGAGTCGTGTATTTGGTTCAGGAAGAGCGAGTGAACCGCCAACCAACCCACCCACCCCCCAGTATACTGCCCATATGGCTACGGTGGATGGGTCACGGGTTGCGCACTGTGAGATGTTCGCGCACCAGGAGTGTGCATAGAAAAGAGGATGGGAGACCAAGCGATCAATTGGTCAAGAGTAATTAGGTCACGCACTTCGAACTTGGCATCCATTTTTGTTGCCAGAATACCTGGCAGGGTGTCCGAAGAACGATGAACACGACTGGCTGGATACACAATTTGACATAACAAGGAACCGATCTCAGTGGATGTTGTGTTGTGAGTTGCTTTGTTCATCCCCATCCTTCTTGTTTTGCACCTCCAACCACGATCTCTATCTTGAGGCATATATATATATTTGCAAAAGTCTACGAATAGATATAATGCCATCAGAATCCATGGGATTCAAACGAAGGCACAGAAATAATAGAATAAAACACAATACAACAATGTCCATGGTTTCTTCAGTGAGCGAGATACTACCTGGTTGCCCAAGCCGAAGTAGGGTGTTGACTTAGGGGACACCACCCCGAGCCTTTGGCTGAATAGCCTGTCCGCAAGGCAGCGGAGCGAATTCAAGGAATCGCGCCCATTGGGAGCCGGTGACTGATTGCTCAGTGCATACGCCTTTCGTTTGTTCATTTGTCAAACAGGGGCCCAATGCTCCCCAGAAGTACAGCATGAGGCAGAAAAGGTTACTAAGTAGTGTGTTGTTTGTTTTCTGCATTTCATAAGGTTCAGTATCTCGGCTTTTTTCCTGTCTTATCTTTATGTTTTGCAACACAATAGTTGAAGTCAGTTTCTCAATTCCAGCTAATGTGTAATGACGACGATGATGGTTAGCGGCGTCCAGTTAGTTCGTGACTGTCAAGATATTAATACAGCAGGATATTATTACAGCATCTCACGCGACCTAATTTACCACGAACAATTATATACACTGCCACACAGAAGAATTTTAGTCGGTGTGCTAGAGGAAGAGCGCTATTAAGTGTGCTCAGCTCAATCTTTCAGAATATTGATTGCCTTCACACAAACGTGTTGAAATAAGAGATATGTTGGAGATATTACCATTATGCTCTCAGACAGTGTTTATTTCATTACAAGTATCTATGAACAGCCAGGTCTTTGAGTGTAAGCTATAATTTGCAGCAGCATATTCTAGATGCCAGTGTGGATAATATCTGAAAATAGCGTCAAGTCTAGCCGCCAGTGACTATATTTCCGGCTACAGAGACAAAATACGAAAACCCTTGTAATGCATTCGGGGTTATCAATCGACAGAATATGCCGAGATCGCTCTAATTTGCTGTAGCTTCCGTCATCTGGTAACTATAGCCAACTCACTGCAAACAACATTCCTTTGTGTCCAGCCTTACCTACCTCTGGTAGGGTTTATCTCACTTCATTAAAGGCGATGGCATGGATTTCTCAATATCCTGGCAATTTGATCATTTCACTGCTTATCTGTACTTAGCTGATAGACAATACCTGAAGTAAACTGGATGCAGATTGTCCCCCACCAACTATGTTTCATTACTGCTAGTATATAGTTCGAATTTGGAAAGAATACTGCAGTACACGTGGAGTATTGGTCACCTCTACTACTTGATCCTAAGCAATAGAAATGCCGGAAACTAGGTTAAGTAACTAATCTGCGTACATGATGGTGTATCCCGTGATTTAAACAATGGTACGAACTAAATGTGTGGTCGCCATGAGATAGACACTATAGCACAATTGGCATAGATATTGCCGTTGTTTATAGTTCCCTTCTGTCGACTCATCTATGGAAATGTTAGCGATACTTGTTGAAGGTAATGACTGGGAGAGCAGCAAGGATCCACTAGATTGTACAGGAACACGAGTTTAATAAACATGCCGCAAATTTGCTTACTATCTTTAATGACAGTAAGAGAGGTACCAGGATGTTGTGTCCATGTTTACTGCATATCCATAGATAACGCACGCTTTCGATTGGCTGAAAGACGGCGGATACATCATCACTAGACCAATATTTCATATTATATGTCCTACTCAAATAGTAAAAGTAGCTCATGATCATAAAAAGTAAACACCATAGGCCCGGTTGAAAATATGCCCCGGATACACCGTTGCTAACTTCCATAGTAAAAGGACGAATAAAAAAGGACTTTAGAAGAAAGTGGCTGGTTAGGACATTTAGCTTTCAGACGGAGAGCACCCAGAGTGGTTAATTTTAACGGGCTCAGTAGGGAAAGCGGATGGTTTGAAAGATCCGTAAATCTAGATTTTGACGCAGAGTTGATTGCGCGGCCGGTTCCAGTGGAAACGCTGTATCTCCGGATGGCCGTTGCATGAGTTCTCTCCAGAAGTTGATTTGCAGTAGACTGAAACAAATATGGATAAAAAAGATTTGAAATGTTGCGATTTTTCACAAGAAGTGGACACACAATGAATGGTAAAATATTCAAGACGACAGTATCCGTTATGCACTATACTGATTGTCGAGCTGCCCTCCGGAAAACAAAAAGACTGCGCCGCGATCACGAAGTCGTTTATTAAGAGTACGCTTGCATATTTATAATTTCTACATGCTATTTGCACCAGTCCGCTTAACTAGCTCATCTTTGTTATCGAATTCTGTCGCTGGTTCCATTTCCATTCGTTTACGCTTGTTCGCAATGTTCATTCTGTCTAAATTCACTAGGACTTTCTTGGTACATTGTACGATTGGCTCGGTTGGGCACCTGCCCATCAGGCCGCACGCTTCTACCCTCGGTCCAACAACACAAACCTTGGCTCAAGTGCGCACCAACACGCACCTCACGCGTACGCGCTTCTTCGCATGTGCTATTGGAACCTGAAGGCGCCCGATTGGTCACTTCCACATTCAGTGGATGTTTGCTGGCTGTACTTGCGGAGCTCGACGCGGACGTGCGCCAACCATTTGCTGCCCGGCTGTCCAATCCGTTTCCGATGTCATGCTCACTTTCTATCGGATCGGATTGCACTTGTACGCTACGCCACGAGATCACCAGTGGCGTTCGATTGGCCATCTGCCTACCGGTATCATGGCATTTCCACTCACCAGCATTCCCAGCCCCCACCACACTGAGTAAGATAAGCATCGTACATGAGCATAATGTACGGAATCTAAAGGCGGTCGCAAAGAAGCAGGCATATTGATAGACCGTGCAAAATTTGTAACAGATCGGACTGTCATTTCCACATTATTGGTAAGTTCTGTTCTCTAGGACAAAATTGGACTAGAATATGTGGTCTAGTAAGTATTTCTGCATGACGTGATTTACAGGACCATGTATTAATAAGGCGACTGGTGACATCAAGGGGCTAATTGAACAACAAAGTTGCCCATTCCCACTATCAACAATTTCAAACTCATGCAGAATGAAAAAACCGTCAGTCAGACAAACGGTTACATAGCGCAGCAAACAATCACCTAAGAAATTATAATCTTGTTAGTGCAGGGCCAAAAGAAAACTCTTCAATGTGTGAATGGTGTGCTGCGAGAACGTCAAAAAAAAACCTCAAAATGCACCACAAAAGCCAGTGTGTGGGTTGCCCTACGCTGTGCTCAATTCCTGTCCACAACGTAGCAGGATCCAAACAGTCCAATTCGGGGCGCCCTACGTGGTGATCTGTTCCACCTACGAAGCAAATCATGGTGCCAACTGACAAACAATTCGCTTTCTGCTCTCTACAGACCACTGAACTGTGATTCAGCCTTTGTGGGTCATAAAATATTCTCATAGGTCCGCTTCGTCTTACCATCTTCCTCTTCTGTACTGGTTGGGATTTGCGTGCTCACGTGATCGTGTGTGTCGTTTAACCGGCTGCTTCGTGTGCGTCTGTCTCTCGCGTCTAGTCCACCGGCAGTGTGCGCATCGTTATCCGTGTTCGATAACTCAGCGCGTTACCCGAATACTTGCGTGAATAGGGAGCGTGTCCAGGTCACGCGGAGTTTTCGGCTAAGCTAAGACAAGCAGCTCAGCTCAAATCCATTACATACTGGTACATTCGAATTTCCTTCTCAGATTTGTTTTATCGGTGATAAAACATCCGCAGAAACAGGAAGACTGGTTTAATGACAATGACTACAATAACAAGTAATTACGGATGCACACTTAATAGAGAATGCACGACACGTTGATTCAGTGCTTCTGTCCTAACTTGTATGAGGCTGGTGGACAGTCGGGGCAGGCACACAAACTCGAGAATTTACTGTTGCTGACGAGCTTGTCCTAGTATTTAGATATGGATTTTTGACGTACTAGTTATGTGCTGCGACGATGACTATTTGATCAAATGAGAAGCAAAGCTCGTTCCGGAGTGCAAAGATTAAAAGAAGTAGCCTAGGATGTGCAGATATTCAGCGTCACCCGTCGATGCTTGCTGTCTACAATTAGGTTTATCGGTAGATAGCTTTTCAGCGATCTGTGGGTAACGTAAAAGGCACTACTACTTCCGTCGGTTAGATGAATTGTTAACACAGACCGCCAAATCCAATTAACAACCGACTTACGTGCATCGGTGTTGCTTATCATTATCCTAAGTCAGGGAGCTGAATAATATGAAAAGTTAGTATCTTAAATAAAAGGAAACTGCAACGACACAAGGCACAAACCACTTATTGTAGTCTGGGAGATGAATTGTATGTGAATGTACAAAGGTGATGTCGCATCTTTTGTGATTTCATAATGTTTATGAGTTGTTCATCAGATATGGCTCTCTACATAGTAGATTTATTGGGTGGCTTAAAACATTTATGTTGCATGTGTGTCAAGCTGTGGTTTGTGTTGAAATATATTACCAGGTTTTATTCGTTGGGTCGTTTGGGACCCAAACGAGATCAATCACTAAAATAGCGTTCAGAAGTAAATCCGCGGCACAATAGCGGAGGTGCTTTCCCACCTTTAGCTGACCTGTATAATGATGATGATGAAGTTTTGGTACATTTGACCGATCATCTATGCGGTTGGCGCCACAGTGTGATCTACATATCTGTCGGTACGAATCCAGCAAGTTTCCAGCCATTTGCGATCTGGTGAGGTTACATTTAGGAAAATGTAGATGCTAGGCCATTTTCCTGATGAGTACTGACTAACTGGTGGTGTACATCATTATCCTCATTGTACACGTTAGCTAGAGGTGAAAAACACCTCAACTATTGTGCCACAACACGAGAAAAGAAAAAATGTACTCGTACAGCAGATGCAAGTCAGTTGAGCTATCAGTAACGGATAGGCATCTTTCCGGAAAACTACCAACCGGCTACTGTATAGCAAAAAGATTATGCTAAGAAATGAGATCATGGTTGAACAGGAGGCTCAGCGGAATGGGGAGGGACAAAGGAATTCCCAACACAAGCATCACTGAGGTCCGCGCATAGACATGTCAGCTAGTGTAGCCAGTTAGAGGTGTTCATCCTATTTCGCTCCCTAACCAAGGCGCCGAGACGCCCCAACCAAAGCTAACTTCGAACTAATGGCCTACATTCCTCTCGACCAAGTCATCGCTTGGCTACCACTCCTCTTTTTCCATCCACACTCCCGGAGTGCAAACAACGCACATCGCGGCAGTCGGTGGGCTGGCATGTGCAACACTTGGCCGAGCCTTCGGAGTCTGGTGCATGAAACAACGGTGCTGAGCGGTTCACTTCTTCCTGGGCCGTAAACAAGGCGTCGCACACGCTCCCACGAGATATGAGGCAAACTGCGAAGGCACGGGTGGTCAAACGTAATTAGCCACTTTATGTCTGCTGACCTAAGGGGCCAGGTTTTACATCCGTACAGTAGGGTCGAACGTACGGCTGCATTGTACCCTCTACTAGTCAGGGAAAGAATGAACTTTCGCATGCGTTATAGGTGGCAAAGGTTAGCAAAAGCACCTCGTGTTTTACTATACGGTTTATGATCCCGTCGTCCAGTCCACAGGTGTTGATATAACTGCCCATTTATTTGAATTTCTCGACGACTACTAACTGATCACCACCAAGGATAAGCGCAGTGGTGGGTCCCTTCCAAGCTTGGAGAGAAGCTTCGCACTTCGAGGGTAAAAAGTAAGGCTCGAAACGGCAGACAGCCAGTTCTAATCTATCCAGTGCCACTTGACGGTCTTTGAGCTGTCACAGATGAGAGCAATATCGGAAGCATACTTCAAGTCAAGATGTCATTCACCTGGGAGCAGTTACACACCCTCTAAGTTGTGTTCTGTGAACGCAATCTTCATGACTTCGTCAATAGCAAAGTTGAAGAGGAATGGGGAAAATGGACATCCATGTCTCACATCACTAGAGATATTAAAGGGCGGCGACAGCTTGCCGTAAGCCCTCACTCTGGCCAAGCCACGCGCGTACAGCGCTCGAATAATATTTACATATTTCTCGGGCACACCTTTCCTGAGTAGACTGTACCAAAGGGTACATTGAGCAACGGGATCAAATGCACATTTGATATCGAGGAACATGACTACGGTGAGCCAGCAATAAGTGTGATGGTGCTCCAACAATGGGCGCAAAGTGGATGTGCGGTCGATGCACCCCTGACCTAGGAGAAAACCGGCTTGTACTACACGAATCCGGCTTTCGCGCGTGTCAGTCAGTCTGTGAACGATTACAAAGGCAAGTAATTGGGAGGGGATGGGGATAAGACTGATTCCTCTATGGCTGCCGCATTCCAAACTCCAGCCTCCTTTGGTGATCGGGACAACCATGACGCGGCTCTAGTCGGTTGGGATAGTTTCTTGCTCACATATTTTCACCAGTGCCACGTGTAAATCATCAACAAGAGCAGGTACGCCGAATTTGAAGAGGGCTGAAAGCAGGTAATCTGGTCTCGCCGACTTATTCATTTTCAGCAGTCCGGTATCCCTTCGACTACTGACAGAGAGTGTAGATGCAAAGGAACAGCCCAAGGAGCACGTTGAACAGCGGCCAGCTAGAAGATTGACAATTCTGTCCGATTGAATTACCTTTTAATGTGCTCAGCCCAACGCTGTAAGCGTGGATAAGCAGTTCACCCTCGTCGCATATGGTTTCCATAACACCAGGTCCCTTGCTGCCCGTCTGCCGTATCTGACGGAATAACTTCGATGGTTACGGAGGGCAGCAACCATTACCATCTGCAAGGTTTGATGAGATCAGCAAAACTGGCGGTCTGTCTTCAGGCTAACACGCAGCTTTGCTCTGAGGTCCTTGCAAGCCGCTTTGTGTTCGCTTCCAGCCAGCATGCGACCGCGAGCATCCATAAGTTCCGAGAAGAGATCCATTGTCTGTGTTGCTTATTGGACTTGCAACATAAGGATCTGCCTGCTGCTATTAAGATTTGGTGAACATGCGACCAGTGACCTTCAATTGTATTCAACTAGC